TGTGCACAGTGGAGAACAGAAGGTTCTAAGGCACCCCTAAGCACACTCTAAATCTGAGTACTTCCTCAAGATAATTTCTGGGGAGTCTTTTCTTTACTCAGTGTCCTCAGGCATAGTTTCTACAGGTTACTCTCTCTCCCCACAGCTGCTCTGCAAGTTTGTGCTTTGCCCTCCTGCTCTCAGGATGGGATCCCAGCAGTGCCTCCAGCACATTCACACCGTGAGGCAGTGGCAGATTGCCAGGCATTGGGATTGGCTGGTGGTCACCTACGGGGCAAAACAACCCTGTATTTTAAGCCATTAGAACTTATGTCAGAACACACTGGGGTCTTCAGTGAAGGCCAGAGTTGCCAGAAAGGCCACCAGACTAAATCCTGGTCTTGTTGCATGGGCTGTGCTTGTTCCCAAGGAAGCCCCGCTTTTCTTCCTGTGGTAGAGCAGGTTTGATGCTTTGTACCCTTTGTGAGAGGGGAGAACCCAGCCCTTGAGGGAAAAGGTGTCACACAGAGCAGCAGAGTCTGCACTGTGAAATCTCTTCTGTGGAGAAGTCACAGGCACAGTATAAGTGTGTTCTCATTCTAAAGGTGTCATGTGCACACGAGGAGCTGCATCTGACAGATCTGTAGGAAGCTGGCCCCATTTGGGGATAGCCCCATAGCTTAGTCACCTTGCTTGTAAGCCAGAGACATTAAAGATTTAAAATGCTGTTTGATGGGAGACTTAGTTCCCTGAAATGTCACTTTCCTGCACAGAATCCCAGCATCTTCCAAGTGCTCTCTGGGATGTTGTGTTGGCCACAGAGTTTCCTGTGCCTCAGATCTATTTGTATGAACCCTTAGGGAGCCCCACTACAAAAAGCAAACCAGCCTGTGTTTTCTCACTGGTATAAGCTTTGTGCAGTGTTATCCCTGGGCTCTTCATTCTCAGAGGTGCCCATGGGTTCTGTTTTGTTTTTTTCAGCATGCAGGAGTCTATTTTGGCCCAGGTGCAGAGAGTCATTAAAGGAGAAGTGAGCCTGGCTATGAAGGAGCAGCAGGCAGCTGTCACCTCGAGCATCGTCCAGGCAATGCGCTCGGCGGCCGGGACACCCATCCCCTCTACTCACATGGATTTCCAGTCCCAGCAGACTCACATCCTTCAGCTGCTCCAGCAGGGACACCTCAACCAAGCTTTCCAGCAGGTACCTCGTTTTCCTGGTAGTCATCCACTGCCTGTTGGGGACTGAGAAGGAAAAAAGGGCTCCCTGGGGTGGGCACATAATCTCACAAGAGCTTAGACAGGAGTTGACTGGAAAGACCTGTGGCAGAGGGATGCAGTTGTTGTCATGCAGGTGGAGCTGGAGCCGTGCAGGTTCCATGATTTGGTAGCAGTTAAGTTCCTTCATCCCTGCCCATGTCCTGTCAGGACAGTGTCAGTGCTCCAGTAAACCAGGGTGCTCTGCCGTTGGTGCTGGCACGTGGCACACCTCTGAAGAGCTCCATAAGCCTCTCCAGGCAGATCTACCAGCTGGGCCTGACCTTGCCTTTGACTTTGAACATGCAGGCAGATCCCTTTGAGCTGCTGCAGACAAACTCTTCTGGGAATGAATGATAGCACTGCTGGCCCTGCTCCATGCTGCTGACAGTAACCTGCTCCCCTCTGTGTGGTTGTGCTCTGTTGAGCTTGGAACACACACAGGTGTCCTCAGAGCATAGGGCAAGAGCCTAAAGATGGCCCTGCTGGCCTGTACAGCAGAGGTGCAGAGATTTTTGCTCCCAGATGAGGCTGTTGAGCCACTGAGCATCCCAGAGCTGTCACTCTGTCCCATGTCCCTCACCTGCCTGTTGGTTCCTGTGCATTTCTAGCTGTGTCTTCCTTGCAGGCTCTAACAGCAGCTGATCTCAACCTGGTTCTCTATGTCTGTGAGACTGTGGATACTCAGCAAGTATTTGGACAGCATCCATGCCCACTGTCCCAGCCTGTGCTGCTCTCCCTCATTCAGCAGCTCTCCTCAGATCTGGGCACTCGTACAGAACTGAAGTTGAAGTGAGTATGACCAGAGAACTGGGTCCTGTTCGTAGCCCTGGCTTTAAATTCAGTGCCTGGAAGTGGAAAGTAGAACTTTGACAAAAGTTGGGAGTTTCTGTAGTCTGTTACTGGCATGTTTAAAGCCAGTGGTAACTCAGAAAAATATGTCAGCATTGCCACAGAAAGCTTTGCTGCCCTGAGGTATTAGTGGAAGGAGTACCCAGCAGTAGGTGCTGGTACCTCTGGAATTGTAGCCTGAAAATGTTTGCAGCCTGTGCAGCAATCCCCATTCCCCAAGGAACAATTTCCTTGTGGAGGCAAAAGAAGGGATAGTGCCATGTTCCCTGGACAGTACAATGGATCCAGGGCAAGTTTGCTCTGTCCTCAGCTCTTAACCCATCACTGGACTTTGTGTCAGCAGTTCCTTGTCGTGACTGTCAGGCTCAGTGGGAGGCTGCAGCAGGAGCTACTGGTACAATTTCTGGTAGATGTTCCAAGCAAAGCTTGTGTGACAGAATAGTGACTGTACTGATACTTGCCATGAACATTTTTAGTGTCTGAGTCAAAACCCTGCTCTCTGCCCTTAAAAGCTAAATTGTTAAGGTGCCTGCAGGTTTTGACTATGGCTTATATGGAAAAATTACTTAAATTGAGTTTTTAACTCAATAAGGATAAAGCAAGCTAGAAAAACTGAAAAGAGCTTCAAGTTACAGGTTGCTGCTGTAAAGTTTAAACTAGATTGTTTTTGGAAACCTGTAGTGACCACATTGCTTTACTCAGGCTATGGTTTAAAAGCTGATGGCTCATCTGAACTTCAGTGTCCTCTTGGTAAAAGTCTTGATCTTATCCCACTCCTTCCTGGATGGATTTTATTGTAACCCTACACAAACTGAGCCTCACTGCTGAGGGGTTGTACTGTCTAATGAGTGACTAATTCTGCTTAAAGGTGTTTGAGGAAATACCTACTGAGAGTCACCTCCAGCACTGTGGGAAGTTCTCACTGGCTGTTGCCTCTGCCTCGGTTCCAGCAGCCAGGTTGTGGGGCAGGTGGGCAGGCTGGGAGCTGTAGGCTGACCTCACATGTTTAGGAAGGCATAGGTGGACTCTGCTGTGAGTCAGGAACATTTATTTCGTGACAGCTGAACATACTGCAGAGTTTGGGTGGAGCAGGGAACAAAACTGCATCTTCAGCGCTAACACGAACTGAATTGGATTGAGATTGAATTCTGGGTTTGGTGCTAACCTTGCTCTCCTCTCCCTCAGCTACTTGGAGGATGCAGTGATGCACCTTGACCAAAGCGACCCCATCACCCGAGACCACATGGGGTCAGTCATGAACCAGGTGCGGCAAAAGCTCTTCCAGTTCCTCCAGGCGGAGCCCCACAACCCTCTGAGCAAGCCTGCGCGTCGCCTCATGATCATGCTGCAGGGCCTGGTCACCCCTGGCATGACCTAGGAGCACCTGCTGCCTGGTGGGCTGCTCACCAAGCCCACCCAGCAGATCCTGGTCACCAACGGCGCCTGGCTGGTGTTAGGAGCTCTTGCCAGGAAATCTATCAACGCGTGTGTGATGTCTCTAAGGCGAACATCATCTGTGTATAGTTCCAAATAGTCACTGAACATTCACTTGGCTTATTTTTCCTAAACAGCCTCTTTTTTGAGAGTTAAATCTCTTCTTCACCTGCCCATCCGTCCCCAAGGCTGGCTGGCAGTCCATGTCTCATGCAGCAGAAGCCGATGGATTCCTTAGCCCTGTAAAAGTTTGGATCTGCTGCCGTCAGCAAGGGAGCAGCGAGGTGTGCTCCTGGCTGACCAGAAACCTGACCCACCCCTGAGGGAAGGGCTCACTCTCCTCCTCCTGGCAGGCTGCAGGCACAGGGAGGAGGCCAGCTGAGCGAGAGGGGTTAGATAGAATTCATTCATTAGTTAGTTACTCTGAGGTTCGTTAATTCCTGATCCACGGGGGAGTGCCCGGCCCACCTGGCCCGGTGAGGCAGGTTTGGGCAGGGTGGTACCCCTGGAGGGCCCCGGGGAGGGCTCTGGGTCAGGGTGCTGAGGCAGCAGCAAACTGCAAGAGCCCCGGGGGGCCACCGGTTCTGTTGTGCATTGGAGCATGTCCATGTTTCAGACATTAGTTTTGATTTTACACCGAGGTTTTTCTTTTTATCTAAATTTTGAAGTTTTGGGGGGTTTTGTTCTTTTTTTTTTGTTTTTGTTTTTTTTTGGAAATAACATTAAGAACAATTCAATAAAAAACTTTTTGAGAAAAAAAACATGGAGACCTTCTTCTGTTGTGTGATGGAGGTAAGACTGAGGGGTCTTTTTAGGATATCAAACAATCTCCAGGGTGGAGCCTGAGGTGATCAGCCACTATCACCTCTCTATTTCCACATTTTTTCCTGAGTCTCTGCTCAAGCTTTCCTGTGTGAGTCCAGCAGGGCATAGTGGTCTGTGCTTGCTGAGAGAGACAGGAGGTGATGGTGGGCTGCTGGCTGTGGGAAGGGGACATTAATTCCCCTTTTCACAGCAAAAATGTCTCTGGCTGCTCCTCCTTCCTGAGAAGAGAAGGCTCTGGGAAGACCTTACAGCACCTTCCCAAGACATGAAGGAGTTCCAATAGAAGTGGAGAAGGGCTTTGGACAAGGGCATAGAGTGACGGGGCAAGGGTGAATGGCTTCACACTGGCAGAGGGCAGGATTAGATTGGATATTGGGAAAAATTTTTTCCCTGTGAGGACAGTGGGTCGCAGGCTGCCCAGAGAAGCTGTGGATGCCCCATCCCTGGAAGTGTTCACAAGAGCAGCTTGCACAGGGCTGGAAGGTGTCCCTGCCGGCTTGGAACAAGGTGCTTCGTACGGTCCCGTACCCAACCATTTGGTTTGTACCCAACCATTCTGTGGTTCCGTGAGCTGCTCGGGCCGGGCTCCAGCCCGGGGGGCTCCTCCGCCCCTCGGCGGGCGGGCAGGGCGAGCCGGGGCTGGACCGGGGCGGTGCGCGGCGGCGGGCGCGGAGCACACGGCGGCGGCGGCGCGGGGTCCGCACCATGGGCGGCGGCTGCTGGCGGCTGCTGGGCGTCGTGTGCCCGCTGCTCCTGCACCTCGGTGAGTGCCGCGGGACCCCGAGCCCGGGCTCTCCCCGCCGGGGCTGGGGGCTGGCGGGTGGGAGCGGGACCCCCGGCCGCGTCCCGCACCCTCTGTACTGCGGGGTGCCCGGTTGTCCCTCAGCTCAGCGATCCATCCACTCTTGTCCCGTGTCCTGAGATCCGGGTAAGGAGGAACGCGGCTTCCCGGCGCTGTCCGGGGTGTCTCTGCTCCGGCGGGGACAGTTCCCGAGCTCCGGCTCTGCAGCCCTGTGCCCACCCCACGCCCCCGCTGGCTTTCCCTGCTGCCCTCGTTCGCCGGGGCCGGAGGGCATCCTGATCGCTGGGGGACTGTTCTCGGCAGGTCCTGCCCTCACTGGCACCAGCGTGTCCCCTCCACTCTCCCGCTCCTCCGAGCGCCGAGGGAGCATGCGGAGCACGGCGTACCCAGTGACATCTCTGCTCTGAAGAGAGATGGGGAGCCTGGGATTAACCTGGTCCGGCTGCACGGACGGTGAAGAACAGGGGCCACCAAACCCCGGGTGGATTTTAGGTTCAGAGGGTGGGTGACTCCGACCCTTCCCCAGGAGCAGGATGGCTCTGCAGCGCCCTGGGAAACTTCCTCCGTGCTTTTCCCTTGGGCTTTCTCCTGACGGAGCCGGGGACAGGTTTTTCCCCACGGTTTTGCCCGCCTGCTTTCTCCTTCTTTGCTCGCCCTGCCCAGCTCCTCGAGAGAGCTGAGTGAAGGGGAGGGCTTGTGCCGGACCTTAGAGGAGCCCAGGAGGTGAAACCCCAGCCCGCAGCAGGGACCAGCCGGCTGAAGGGAGGCATCACCGGACCCTGCCGGCTGCTGGGTCCTCGGGCTGGTGGGAGGCAGGCTTGTTGCCTGGCTGGGAGAAAAGAGGAGCAATGGATCCCGCTTTCTCTATTGATACCTGCAATGTTTGAGAGCCACGTGTCTGCCATCAGTCCGAGGCTTTCCTCGGTGCTGTGCTCAGGGGGTTCTCATTGCAAACACCAAAAGTGCCCTGTGATCATGTCAGGCTCGCCCTGGTGTTAGTCTCAACCACAGCCACTTTGCTCCAGGGGTGCAGGCATGGGATGCCAGCAGCAAGGCACGCAGCTTCCTGGAGACATCCTGGCTGCCTCAGCAGTCACCAGGAAACTTTCAGCTGTTTCTGGGGTCACCTTTCCACAGAGAACCCCTGCAGGCTCTCCTCAATTAGAAACCTCCTTGATGTACACCCTTGTCACTTTCAAAACTCTTGTAATTCCTGTCAATTGGCACAGGGACCCTGCATCTTCTGGCCTGCAGGACCTCTGGGGCAGAGCTGAGGACCATGCAGGTTTTCTCTGTGATCCAGTCACATCAGCTCCTTTTGGGCTTCCCACCGGTCGTGGATGCCCTGGCAGTTTTCATGAGCACACCCTGTCCCCATTGTTCTGTGTCTGATACCAGAGTTTGGCCAGTGGTGAATCGTTTGTGGAGCAGAGCAGGGAATTGGGGCTTCTCAGAATGGGGCAGCCAGTCTTGCACTTGTGCCTTTTCCTTTTGTACATGTTCTTCCCCTTTCTCTCCCCTGCTTCCCCCTCTTGTTTTCCCTTTCCCTTTTCTCTTTATCCTTTCCCCTTTCCTGTTCACCTTTCCCCTTCTTTGTCTTCCCCCTTCCCCTTCCTGCTTTTTCTCTTCCCCTCCTTTTCCACTTTCCTTTTTCCTTTCCCCTTCCCCTCCCTCCTTCCCCTTTCTCTTTCCCACTTTCCCCTTCTCTTTCCCCCTTCCCCTTTGTTTTCCCCTTCCCCCTCTTTCCCACTGCAGTCAGAGCAGGGACTCCAGCTTGCTGAGCCTTTGCTTTGTTTGTTTTGTTTTTTTTCTGTTGTAGTCCCAAATTAATCTTTGCTGTCAGGGGATAAAGGCCGGGACAGATGGCTCTGGGGAGAGCCGGGGAGGCCGGGGTGAGGCGGCGGCAGGAGCCCTGTGGCGAATGGCAGCATCGCTGCGGGGCGGTCACATCGCTCCCGGGCCGGCAGCGCAGGGTCACTACGAGTGCCCAGGGAGGGGATGCCGGCTCCGGGGGGATGTGGAAGCCTCTCGGCACATTTCAGAGCCCGGTGTCACCCCCAGCCGGTGACAGCCTCGCTCCACGCTGCCCCGAGCTCAGCTCGGTCTCTCTGTGCCCCGCAGCCGCGAGCCAGGAGCCCGTCAGCATGGCGGGACAGTGCGACACCATCTACAAGGGCTTCGCCGACTGCCTCCTCAGCCTGGGGGAGAGCATGGCCCAGAGCGTCCGGCAGCAGCAGCAGCAGGAGGGCGGCGACGAAGCGCAGGAGCTGGAGGCCATCTGCAAGTGAGTGTCCCTGGGGAGCGCTGGGACGGCGGGGTCACCCGCCACCAGCATCGCCCCCGACCCCCGCCCTCGTCCCCAGGTCCTGGGATGACTTCCACACCTGCGCCAGCGAGGTGCTGTCGCGATGCCCCGTGGAAGCGGCCACCGTGTGGGAGTCGCTGCGCCAGGAGTCCCGCAAGATCCAGTTCCAGGGGAACCTGCAGGAGCTGTGCAGCGCCCGGGGCCGCCTGGCCAGCGCCCAGAGCTCGCCGGCCTCTGAGACCAACCGGGCCACGCTGCGGGGCTCGGCCAGCGCCCCGCACCCGCACCCGCTGGCCCCGCTGGCCCTGCTGGCCCCGCTGGCCCCGCTGGCCCTGCCGCTGCTCCTGCCCCGGCTCTAGCCCTGCTCGCCCGCGCCGTGCCCAGGTGATGCCGGCTCGGTTTCCCGGCTCTGGCCGCTCCCCGCCATGCCCACCTCCCTCCCGGGCATCCCTCGCGGGGCACGGTCCTCTCCTGCAGCACTTCAGATGGATTTATATTTATATTAAAAGACACTTTTACATTTCTCCTGTCTCTCTGCTGTGGGATGCCCCTTGAGCCCCTCCCAAGGCCCGTGTTTGCTCTGGGGGCTGGAGAGGAGATGCTCCCTGCACCAGTCCCCAGGAAGGGTCAGTGGGAGGGTCTGTGATTCCATTCCTCAGGTGTATTGCTCATGGCCATGCCAGGTGGTCCATGGGACCATGGACAGCCCCAGGAGGGGGCGATTCCCACTGCCCTGGTGCTCCCTGACAGCTGCTTTTCAGGGCTGAGCATAGCAGATATTCCCTTTAGAGGTGGGTCAAATGTTTTATTCGTTTTAAAGGACACCTTAGAAAAACACAGGGTGCAGATTTCTTTGTCTTTGTGGCAGCCAATAATTTGTCCTCTGATGGGCAACTTCAGTGACATTTTCTGTCTTCCACTCCTTTTATTTTGGTCTGGCTGTATTCATGGTCATAAAGAAAAGTATGGTTTGCAGGGAAGAGAGCTTTCTTTTTTTTAAAAAAAAGCTAGGGAACTGGAAATCTCATCCAGGTTCACAGAGAACTTGTTGTTGAAGTTAAACCAAGATGATTTGTGGACATTTAACTTGGCTAAACTCGTATCTATCAGTGGAAGACGCTCTAATTGCCATCCCTGTTGCCGCTATGCTGAAAATTTAGGATCTTTTTACCAGCTACTAAAGCCCAGAGTGCAAACCAGCTCCCCTAGGCCTGGGCTGGTGAGGTGTCCTCCTCACTGTCCCGGACACAGCCTTCACTCCCCACCCATCCCCTAAAGGGCCACTGGAATTGCAAATGGGCCACCCCAGCTGGGCACAGATCACGGCTCCTTGCTGGTGTGGCTCCAGCAGCAGTGGTGGGTAAATCTGCCTGTGCAAATCTGGTGGGTAAATCTGGCTGTTGCCTATCCCAGGTGGAAACCACCCCACTTGGGAAAGGCAACAAAATCCTCTGGCCAACACCACAATGATGATTGCTCCAGGCTCAGCAGAGAGCAGGAGCCGTGAGCTCCTATGTGCTGTGGGTAGCAAGTTGCTGCTGTTTCTGTGATTTCTGTGACTCCCAAAAACATTCCAGTAGCTGGGCACATGGTTTTGGCCTGGGGAAGCTTTTGCCACGCTGTCCTGTGGCTGAAAGCCTTCAGCACTACTGAGCAAGGAGCTCAATAATCACTGTCCTCATTGAGCCAGGGAAAAATATTGGTTGTTTAATCATAAAACCTCTTCCTGTGAGGTCTGGTAACTTCAACAGGTGATTGGTCACCTCTGGGATGTCACCCTGGCTGTCCCAGTCCTGCCAGGCTCTGGGTCTGGGAAACACTAACAGGATTGCTGGTTCATCCCATGGGGCTGAGTGGTTGCTGCCGATCCCTCAGCTCTGTGGGGGGCTCTGTGTTTATTTCCCATTATTTATCTCACTAACCAGCCTGGAGCTGGCTGGGGGGACACAAAACATCTGGGCTCCCTGCAGCCCTTGCTGGGGGAAGATGCTGATCCCGGGGCCGGTGCCCCATGGGACACGGGGCAAGACACCACCCCAGCTCTCCTCACGCAGCAGCTGCCGCTCCCCGTGTTTAACGCCAGCGCCGGGGGGATAATCCGCCGGTTCTTTCCTTCCCAGTTCCTGACAATCCTGTGTTTAAGGGTGAATTAGTGCCGGATCCCGGCAGGGTGGCTAAGAGGATAAACGCCAGCCGGGCGCCGGCCACGCACCGCGCAGCGCCCGCCGGCACCTCTGAGGGGGTGGGAGCGGTGGGATCGCAGCGGGACGCTGGGAGGTGGCCGGGGACACGGAGCGTCACCAGCGTGGTGCTGCGACACGCTGCCACCACGATGGTCACACTTGCAGACAGCAAACTGTGCTGCTTCAGTCCAGGGGGAATGAAAGCCCGGGAAGATCCAGTCACAGCCACCAAACACTTCAGGTGTGTCACCCTGTGTGCAGAAAGACACTGCACAGAAGGTCCCATGTCCTGGAAAATGCCACTGTACATGTCACAGACCCTTGGCTATGTCACCACGTGTCCTGAGCACTAACACTTGTCACCACACGTGGCTCACACCTTTGGCTGTGCTTCCATGTGTGAGTTGCAGCTGAAAGGTCACCGTGTCACCACACAGCCTGCGAGGCACTGATGGCTCTGGGAAGGCAGGGCTGGAAAAGGGTGGAGCTGTGAGTCACCACTGCTTGGTGACCTGTGACCCCAGTCCTCCTCCGGGGAGGTGCCCGCAGGGCCGAGGGCAGCAGTGTGGCAGCAAGGTGGGCCTGCTGAACCCCAGGGAAGCTCTCTGGTGCTCCAAAATGGGAACACTGAGCCAGTGTCTGTCTTTCCATTGAGTTTAAGGGTTTGGGACAGTCCTGCAGCTGTGTCCTGCTGTGGGAAGGGACAACATCCTCGTTCCTGTCCCCAGAACAAGCAGCTGGCTCCCTGCACACCAACAGCACCTTAAAGCAACTGTCCAGGCTGAAAGGAGCGGATGGTGGGGAGCAAGGCTGGGGACCCCGGCGCCGGGAGCTTTGGAGCACCCGCCGTGCTGTGAAAACCCCTCGCTCTGGTTACGAAACTCCGGTGACCTACTTTACACTCCCTGCTTTTGTTCTTAATTCCCAGATATGGCCGCTCTCCAGATTTTGCCCATCAAGGCAAATTAATTGGAGTAGATCCTAATTTGCTCTCTGCTATTCTTTGGGCAGAAGATTAAATGCTCTGCAGACATTATCTCCCTCTCTCTTTTCTAAGAGACAAACCTGAATTAATAAAAAAAGGAAAAAAAAAGGGATAAAGGCCAGCTGAGTCCAGCGGAGTTGATGTTTGAATTCACTTCTTGCAATCGCAGAAGGGGCCGGGGAGGTCCTTGTGTCCCCAGGCAGCTGGAACCAGATGGTGACACTATTCTAGGTGGCTGTGTGAGACAGCACACGTGGCACAGTGACATGAGGGCTGACCTCCCACCATGCCACCCAACACCTCTGCCAGACAATGGCTGAATCCTCCATTCCTTCACCCAGGGAAATTCCTCCTGGTGAAGGTCCCAGGTGGGGAATGACTCCTCATCTGTGGGGACACACTTGGGTTTCTCTTACTGGACAGAATGGTGTGGAGGCCACCAGCAGAGGGGAGATGGCTCCTTGCCCTTCCTTGGCCCCAGTGCCACTGTCCCAGTCTGGCATCCCCAACCAGGCACCAGTTTCACCACCCCCAGCTCCACTGGCAGTCCGGGGGGAGCAGGAGATTGGAAAACAAGCATAGTCTGGAGGACACTGTGTCACAGGGCTGGCCACTGTCCGAGTTTGCATGGGGATTTCTGCTAAGCCAAATGTCCAACTTTCCATAAGGAACCACCAAAAGACAACCTCAATCCCCGTGGATTGGAGGCAGAGGGAACAGCTGAGCTGGAGTCACCTCTGCCGTGGGGGCTGTGTTCAGCACCCCATCTGCGCTCAGCTTTGGGGCTGTTTTACTCTCCAGAGAGGCATATGGAAAGTTGGATTTCTTTTTTAAGCAGCTTTAATTGAACATCCTCCCGTTACGACCTCTGCTCAGCCTTGCTGGGACAACCTTGAGCTCTGGCCTGGTATGGCCGCTGAGGGTTGGGCTGGCAGGGATGCAGCTCAGAGGAAATCCAGGTTTCCTGCTTCACCCTATCCATCTGATGGCAGATGAGGGTCCCATTCTCCTGTCTTCCTGTGGCCTGGCACAGCAGAAAGCTCTGGGATCCCCAAATTGCCCCATGCTTGGGATGGGCAGCAATGTCCCAGGCAGCTTTGTGGTGCTGGGGTAGGGGGATGCTTCCAGCCATTCCCACCATTCCACAGGGAATTACAGCTTGCTGCACCCCACTGAGACCCTGGAGTCAGCTGGCAGCACCACAGACAGGTGTGGGATGTAAAGGAAACTCTGAAGTTCCTGCTCCAAGCAGGGTTAATGCTGGTGCTGGAGGCAGCTTGGAGCATCTCTGCACCTTTGGGGAGAGAGGATCCTCCACCTGTGGGTACCCAGCATTGTCCTGCTGGTCCCAACCTGCCTTGAGCAGCTTCCACAGGAGAAGCCCTGAAGAAGCCACTAACAGGAGACACAAAACTCTAAGGGAACCCATCCCTGCAGAGGGGTAGAGGCTTTCAAGAGGGAGCAGCCATGCTGCAGGACCAGGGGAGCAGTGGCTGCCCCGTCCCTGGAAGTGTTCAAAGACAGAGCTCTGACCAACCTGGTCTGGTGGAAGCTGTCCATGCCCAAGGTAGGGAGTTTGGAACTGGATGACTTTTAAAGGTCCTTCCAACATAAACCATCCCAGGATTCTGTGACTCTTCACAGGCATTCCTGCCTCAAAGGCTGGATCCTTCCCATGGGGCTGGAGGCAGGCTGTGGGTCTTGGGCATCAGAGCTGGCAGGGGATTGCTGAAGGGGTCAGCATGGAAGAGCAGGGGGAGGCTCCTCTCCAGGGAGAGCAGCATCTTGGAAGGGAGAAGACAAAAAAAGGAATGACAAGGAGACAACAGCCCATTTGGCAGGAAAATCTGCTGTTAGACCCTGCCCAAGCACAGCACTTCTTTGTGAGTGTGTGATAAACCTGTTACCAGCCCCCTCTTGGAGGAGGGAGAAAAAACCCAATGGTTTTTGGCTGGAGCAGTGCTGGTGAGAGCCCAGGCACCCAGAGCCTGGCGGGATGAGTGGCTCAGAGCCTCTCAGTGCTCAGAGCTTCACGGCTGGTGGCCCCAGCAGCAAGGGGCTTGTCCCAGTCAGAAATCTTCCTGCTGTAGCTGCAGAAAAGGCTCTAGATGGAATAACAGGCATCAGGAATCAACAGGCAATGACTCCAAAGTCAAGGCGGGTGCCTGACCTGGCAGGCAGTGGATGAGCAGACAGTTCCCCACCTCATCCCTGGGTGTTTTGCCAGGAGGATGTTGGCTTTGTGCAGATGTCTGGTGTGAAGCTCTCTTGGCTCCAGTGGGTCTCAGAGCACCACCACAGCATAAATAATACAAGAGCTGCTCTGACTGAGGTTCTCAGAAGTCCCCAGTTCTGGCCCAAGGGTTCGATGCCTGTTGGCTCTCTGATATTTCTCAGCGGTGATGGACCTGGAAGAGCCTCATTCAGCGCTCCCGTGAGGCTGGTCAGGAAACAAAGCTGTGAGGAAGTGGCTAATGGAAGATGCATCCCCTGAGGGAAACACATCCTTGCTGAGCACTTATCCCTGTGTGAGCTCCCTGGGCAAGGTGAGGCAGCCCACTGCTCTACACCCATCAGCCAGGATGACAGAGGAACACGCTGGTGGAACCAAGCTGGGATGACCTTGAGAAACAGCCTAAAATAACAGGATCAACTTAACCAGGGACACGTGCGAGGTGTCACATGCCAGACACAGGTCAAGCCACCTCTCAGGGACACCGGGGAGGATGTGTGGCTGAGGAAATATCTCCATAAAGAAAGCAGGGGGATTAGAGGGCTGAAAACCTCTCAGCAGCACCATTACTGTGTGAGACAAGAACTGGGGAGTTTCCCTTGCAGAGAACTGCACAACTCACCAGATCTGCCGATCCCAGCCCAGGCAGCCCCCTCTCAACCCTCACACATTTCCGTGCCTCGCTGGGAATTACACGGAGAAGCAGCTGATGACAATAATGTGCATCAGCAGGTACAACTTTTACTACATTATGACTTACTAATCATTCTAAAAGAGCCGAAGATCCCAGGAGCATTAAAATAAACCCGGCTATTTTTAAAAGCATGGTAGGAGTGTGAAAAAAGCCCCGCTCCACCTGAACCGCCTCGGGAATGACGTGACAGCCAGGCTGGAAAACAAGCCCGACAGCGTTGCGTTTGCATGTCCCCGGGGGAAAGGAGTGCCGTCAGCATCCCTGCAAGGTGTCATCCCTCGTCTCCCTGCTCTCAGGTCATCCAGGGCCGGCATGTGGAGCGTTCTGCTTGAGGATGAGGAAAGGATATGAGGAAGAAAGTCCACGGGCAGTTACCAAGCAAACTTTGAGGGTTTTGTGGCACTTAGTAGCTGGGGCAAAGAAAGGAGAAAGGAATGCGCCGCGTTATTCTGCTGCGCACAAGAGCTGTCCCACAGGGACCGGGTTTTCCCTGCCAAGGGGAAGGACCGGTGCTTCCGGGCCATTCTCTTGCAAAGGGAATGTTTTTGCAGAGTCCCGCAGCGCAGCGGGGAGCCCTCGGAGCTGCTCCATGGGCTGCGGGCTCCAAGGCGCTGCTGGGGAGCTGTCGGAGCTGGGTTTGGCTCCAAAGAGGAGGCAGGAGCACGGGGAGCGGGAACACTGACCCTGCCAGGGGCTGGAGAGGGCCACAGTGCTGCAAAATGTGGATTATGTCAATATTACCGTAGGGCAGGATGTTCTTTGGTGTAAGACCTTTGTACGCTTTCAAACCTAATCGGCCAAAAAAGGAGAGCTAATGGGTGGAACGGGCAGCAGCCAGCACCCCTCACTCAAGAATATTCTGGAACTAACAAGATTTAGGGATGCAATACACTAAGATGTTGATGTTTGCCTATGTAAACATTGCCAAGCTGACAAAATACTCCGTGTATCTTAGAGCTGAGCTATCTTCATTGTAACACTAAAATTCATGCTATGCATCAAAAAGACCTTCGTTGAGGTGAAGATCCTTCCCCTGAGCATGAGCAGAAGTTATCTGGAGTTACGTGATTTCTATGGAAATTCCTAACCAATCTTGACAGAGGGGCTGTGCTCAGGAAGTCACTAACCCCGAACTTCTCTGTGTAAATAATGGCACAGAAAGCCTGGTGGGGTGTGCTGGACCTGTGGAGTAGCCCCCAGGCTGGGGCAGCTCTGAAATAAACCATCGGTGTCCCTCTGGAGTGTGCCATTGTGGCTCGGTGCACGCTGAGGAACGAGCCCGACTCTGTGGGGAGCAGCAGGGCCAGAGCGGTGAGGGGACCCTGGAGTCCATGGGGGTGAGGAGCTCCAGGGGCCCGCAGGGGCTGCTGTGAGGCCCGGAGCCCCTCGCTCCCCCGGAGCCCCTCGCTCTCCCGGAGCCCCTCACGCCCTCAGCCCTCGGGCGTCCCCGGCGCGCGGTGATGACGTCGGGGGGCGGAGCCGCGCCGCGGCCGCAGTGGGCCGAGGTGAGTCCGGGATGGGCGCCCCGGGACCGCCCGGCCCGGCCCGGCCCGGCACCGGCTCCCCTCCCTCTCCTTCCCTCCCTCCCTCCGGGCGCGGCGGTGGTGCGGCCCGGGAAGCGTGGGCGCGGCCGGCCCCGCCGTCTCAGCCCCGCCGCTGCCCGGGGCGCTGGGCCGCGGGGGCGGGCGGGCCGGGAGGGAGCCCTGCCCGCTCCCGGTGTGTCCCTCAGCGGGACGGGCCCCGTGCTTGCCAGGCTGGAGCCGAAGCTGCTGCGGGGCGAGCTCCCGGCAGCGGGCCGGCCCTGGGTGCCCCTTGCAGGACAGCGACAAGCGGCCCGGCTGCGATGAGCTCTGGGAACAAACGGCTTTGGAGTCCCGGCTGGCGCGGCCCATCCCGGCCAGCCCCTGGCTCCGGCACAGTTCTCCCAGCCCCGGGTTTCCCCTCCGCGATCCGCCAGAAGCCCGCAGTGCCGGGTCCTGCACGCTCTGCAGTGAGACGGCAGGCAGGGAGCGCCCAGGGGAGAACCTCAGATCCCGTGTGCCTCCACTTCCAGCTGGGGCTCAGGTGCTTTGCCACCTGCCACGTATGTGGTTTCCCACTTGGAGAGCTTATAATTAATCTTAATTCCTTTCCCCACATTCCTGGTGACGACTGCACAGGAGCATGTCCTGCAGTAATGTGGAGTTCAGCATTTTGTGGCTGACTCTGGTTCTGTAGCCTTCACTGGAGCCCTCAAGTGTACAAGAAGGAGCCACTGACCTGCTGGAGTTGCTGCCAGATCTCAGTTAATGCCACGAGTGGCATTATAGATGATATTTTCAAGTGATTAATTCTTCTGTTTGGTTACTCTCTAATAATCTTGTTTATGGATGCTCTCATTCCATTTCTCTGTTAACTTAAAATGCTTTAAGGTTCAGTAATGCTGGGAAAGCTGTCCATGGGAGGCATTATTCAGGACTAACCAGAGCTCTGATTTTTTTATCATGGTGCTTTAATCTGAATGAAGCCCCACCTCCAGGGCAGTGCTTGGTGAAAGTCAGCTAAGCTTTCTGTGAGGTTGGTTTTCATTTGTTCTGCCTGCACCCCACCACAGGCATGTCTGTGCATGGCTGGCTTTGACCTCAGGGTGCTGCCAGGAGGGACCTGCTCCCTTGGGAAGTTACTCTGATGATGTTTGATTATAAAACTGAATCTTAACTAGGGCCTGGTTTTCTTTCCAGGTTGGATGAAGAGTCTCAAGGTGTCCCTTTGAAACATTTCTTATTTCTCCACTTGCTTCTCCCCATGGAAGACAGGCAGGGGCTCCTTTTCTGCTGTTCATGCTGAGCAGTTGCTCGGAGAGGTGGTGCTGGAGTGGAAATACACCTGGTGATGGTAAGACCTCACATCACATTTTCAAGGCTAATGGTTTTCTGTGGCCTCCTGTGAAGGCTCAGGCACATGTTGATGGGCTCTGAGTCAAAAAGGGCAAATGTGGAACTGCCCAGTGCCTGCCAGAGCCTCAGGTGGCTTCCCCATCTCCTGACCAGTCATGTTGTTTTAACCAGCACACAAAGACTTGCCCAAGTGCAGCTGCTTTGGTTTTGTTGGGGTGCACTGTGATGAGCAAGAGCTGGGAGGAATTCCACTTCTTACAGGCAGCTCTGTGTGCAAAGCCAGAAGTGCCACTTGGTGCCTCAAGATGTAAAATAAAGCAAAACTGAGATTGTTGAAAGATGTGAAAGCCCACCTTGATTTCTCAGGGTTTGGAGGATGAGGAACTTGCTGACTGAAAGCTGCTCTGGGCAAGTGAGCATCTCCCTTTTAGCAGGGGCTGCACCTAAAACCAGTGTGCCTCTGGCTCCATATTCCCTGCCTCTCCTCCTGTTCCATTGATCCCCAGCAGCAGAGTTTAAGACGTTCAAGATGCTGTACAAATTCAGTATAAAGAAAATCTTGGGGAGATGGCTTCAGTGTGCAAGTTGCTGAGGTGCTCTGTGGACCTTCTAGTGAGCAAACTCAGAACTGTTGGGTTTGGACTGGCTGCTGGCTGAGAAAGTTGAGCAGATCCAACAAAAATAAAGAAAATGCTTGACTTTTTTTCTTTATTTGATTTTTATTAAGCAGTTGTGTCTGGACAAAAAGACCTCCAGAAGTCTTGTGCAGCTTGAGCTGCTCTGTGCTCAGCAGGGAGCAGAAAACAATCAATCCCCAATAAAGAGAGATACTGTGTGATTTCCATGGGCACATCTGATCTGACCATGCTTGTGGTGTTTGTGGGCACTGCCTTCACTCGCTCATGATGAAAGCAGCAGAGCACTGTGCATGTTCTGTAGTGGAGAGAAATGAAAATGCTGTATTCTCAGTTTGTGATAGCACGGCCCTATTGTTTTGGTTTTCCCCTCCATTTGAATCTTTACTACCTTGATTCCTCTTTGTTTCTTCTCGTTTTTTCTCTAAGATTCAAATGTGGGAATCCCCCCGGATGTGGTTGCTGCTGGTGCTCCCCTGGGAACATGCCTTGATAGGGAATTAACACCAGTCAGTGATGGGCTGTGGGACCAGCAAAGTGCTTCCCGAGCCCCCCAAAGATGTGCAGCTGGACCTGGTCAAGAAAGTCGAACCCTACACAGGCCACAGTGACATATACAAGCATTTCATCAGAGATGACTGCGGGGCTGCCATCAAAGCTGGCTCTCCCTCCCCTGCCCATCACACCAGCCCCTACCCCGGGCACCCCCTGCCCGCCCAGCAGCCCGAGCCCCGCAAGAACAAAGTGGCCAAGTACCGCGCCAAGTTCGACCCGCGCGTGACGGCCAAGTACGACATCAAGGCGCTGATCGGCAGGGGCAGCTTCAGCCGCGTGGTGCGCGTGGAGCACAAGGCCACCAAGCAGCCCTACGCCATCAAGATGATCGAGACCAAGTACCGCGAGGGCCGCGAGGTGTGCGAGTCGGAGCTGAGCGTCCTGCGCCGCGTGCGCCACACCAACATCATCCAGCTCATCGAGGTCTTCGAGACCCAGGACCGCGTCTACATGGTCATGGAGCTGGCCACGGGCGGAGAGCTCTTCGACCGCATCATCGCCAAGGGCTCCTTCACCGAGAGGGACGCCACGCGCGTGCTGCAGATGGTGCTGGACGGGGTGAGGTACCTGCACACGCTGGGCATCACCCACCGCGACCTGAAGCCGGAGAACCTGCTCTACTACCACCCGGGGACGGACTCCAAGATCATGATCACGGACTTCGGGCTGGCGAGCGCGCGGAAGAAGGGGGATGACTGCCTGATGAAGACCACGTGCGGCACCCCGGAGTACATCGCTCCCGAGATCCTGGTCAGGAAGCCCTACACGAACTCCGTGGACATGTGGGCGCTGGGGGTGATCTCCTACATTCTGCTCAGCGGCACCATGCCCTTCGAGGACGACAACCGCACCCGCCTGTACCGGCAGATCCTGAAGGGAAAGTACAGTTACTCAGGCGAGGTGAGTGCTGAGGGGCAGTCGAGCAAGAAGCTCTCCCTAGGTGTGGCTCTGTAACGTTACCAGGTGTGAAAAAATTCTGTGATTCTGGCTTTTAAAATCCTTTCACATTTTCTGTCAGCTCCCAGTGCAGCGTAGCGAGCTCCTTTAAAGAAATATGTGCACAGAAAGAGGAAATTTGCTGTAGAACAGGACTAGGGTGCTTGTGGGTTTCTGGCTGTGGTAAGCTGCTGTTAGAGACTTTGCAGCTGAGACTTGTGCCAGGGTGTTTGAAATGTGGCACGTGTATCACTAGTCTGATTCCTGACAGGAATCCAAGTGTAGTATGGAAAATAGTTTTGCTGAAAGACAGGGTTATGGCAGGCAAGGGGCACTTGCTTCTTCCATCTGGAGATGGGATTATTTCAGAAATTGATCTGCATTGCTTCCTGAGCTTGGTATGTGAGAAAATGGAGGATTGAAGGATGGTTTTCATAGGTAAGTATGGAGAGAAGTGTCTTGAGGGTTAATTTTTTAGGCATTCTGTAAAAGATAGTGTGGCCTGAAGGTGCTTCTTGCTCTTCAGAAGAAACAATTTGAAGTTAAACACTTGTAAATCTTCACACTTCTGATCAAAACCCCGTTGATATTAGGAATGAGTGTTACTATTGTCATGTCCTTGCCATGCCATGGCCTTGACTACTGAGTGCAGGTCTGTGTTCTCTGGATAAATATACAGAGCTGAAAAGAATGTGTAGAGAGGCAGTGTGAATAACCAAAGGCATGGCCTGGCTTCTGTTTGAAGAATGAGTGAACAGACTAGGGCCTTTCCTCCCAAAAAAATTAACATTTGATGGGGGTCTGATCAAGCTCAGTGCAGCCATAGGCAATCTGGAGAGAGTGAATTGAGTGTTTTGAAGGTTCCCTGGGGTAATTTACTTTCATGTCCACTGGTCCTTGTACCAGAAGGGACTGGTTTTGAGAAATATTGTGAATTGCAGCTAGGCCACTGGAGACTTGTTGGCTGTTCATGCAGAGGTAGCACATGTGCCACAGAGAAAGCATTAAACTCTCTATTTTGAAAGTATCAATGCACAAGCCTGAGGCATTTTACTTGTTATGCCGCCACAAATTACACACTTTAGGAGGCTGTTATGGATACTGTGTCTGACATGAGTGGTTATTTTGGAAAGCTGTCGATGCTTTACTGCTTGGAAGGCAAATATATGTCAGCCAGAAGCCTGTGTCTGTTGCCTGAATGCTTTCTGTTCTTCTAGAGCCAGGGAAAATGGATGCTTTAATTTATCAGTGTAATTAAACCTATGCCCCTTAATTGCACGGTGCTTGACTGTAGGCAGGTATTGGCAGGAGATGCAGTAAAGAGGCTGCTCATTTCGTGAATAAATTGTAGGAGACAAAGTGAGCCAGAGGTTTAAAGGTGTCTGTTGTGTTTCCCACAATCTTGCCAGTACTCTGGGTTTTAAATGCTTCCATTTTTGGTGTTCACAGACAATGGCTCTTCTTTCTTTGTGTTACACTGGAGGAAGTGGAAAGATGTCAGAAATGAGGCTATTGATAAGTTTGTCAGGCTAATGGGAATGGCAGGAGCCAAGTCCTGGTTCTTTGGAGTAGGAGTGGGCAGAATACTTGAGTTCATTGCTGAAAGCATCTGTCTTGGATGGATGCAGGAGCAGAGGTTTCATGGGAGCAACTGCTTTTCTTCCCTGTAATCTGAAAGTTGAGGATCTGAAACAGAAGAGGAAATGTTGAAAGAAGCCTGTGAACTACAGAGCTGACAGCTTGAGCTGTGTGGCTCAGACAAGTTCCAGTGGGGAAGGAGGGGGCTGCCTTCAAGCTGTACCATGGCAGGCAGCAGCAGTGCCCCGAGTCTCGGAGCAGAGCCCTGCTTTTTGAAAAGTCTGACCCCAAAACCTGGTCACAGAGGACAAAGCTGTATTGAAAGAGGAACAAAAGCCAAGATCCATGCTGACCTGAGAAGCAGCTCCATTTTCTTGGAAAAACAAGTGATCTGTAGTCCAGCTAATGTAATTGCTTTCTGACTGGACCCTGTTACCCTGGCTCCTGTTCCTGGAGTGTGAGGTCTGTTTGAAGAGGCCATTAGCAGATCAATAGGAGAGGTCTCCCACAATAGGTTATTCAGGTACTGCTGACATCACTGCTCTGATTATCTCTTCTATCTCCTCTACTTTTTGAACTGCTTCGGGTAATGGCTAGGATGAGGAAGGAAGGACAGCTGGCTTTGTAACTTGGTGTGCTTTTTTTTTCCTGAGCATCCTGAGTAAGGGTTAGGTGAGCTATTGACACTGCTTTGAATGTAGTCTGCTGCAAAATTATTCTTTTTCACTTATTTTGCTAGAACTTACTAAAAAGGATATTTGGACATGATTATTTCATTTAATTTTTAGTTGAAATCTTGGAGTTAAACTGATTTTTGGGAGCTCTTTGTAGCTTAAAAAGTTGACTGAGGAATAAAGCTGGAATTCCATTCTTAGTTTCCTTTGAATTTGCAAGTGCAGAATTGAAGATTGGACCATCATTATCCTGCTAGGACAGGCTTGCTCTGATTCTTTTTCAAAGCTTCTCCTTCTGTTGAATACCAGTACTTTTATGTTGCTTTACACACCTGGGAAAATCGATGGAATAAGTGGAAGATAATGTATGCTATGGTTAAATTGGGAAACTTAGCTAAGGTGTATGGATTGTTCTGATTTTGAGATCTGATCTGGACATACCATTTCTCTCATGGGCTGTTCTCCTGTTCATAGAACAGAATCAGCTTTTTGTGGTATGCTCACAGTGGGTGAGGTGGGTGTGTGCTGCTGTGAGAACATGTCTTAATCAAATAACCAAAAAAGCTTGTTCTAAATTATGATGCTAGTGGATTCATTGATAGGAGAGACATGCTTGATATATGAAGGAAGATGGACATTGCAAGTCTGTAGGAGCTCTGCAAGAGACTTAGCAGCCTGTGGAGAGATGAACTGGTTTTGTGTGACTTAGATTTTCAGTTGTTTTTGATAGAAATCCTCATCAAAATCTCTTGAAGGAGCTCTGCAGCCTTATTGTGACAGTGGCCTTTGCATGGATGAGGAGTTTGCTGATAAACACAGATGTGAAATATGTGGTCAGCTCCATAGGGAAGGACAGAACCAGTGAAGATTGAAGGGTCTGTTGCCTTCTGCCTAAAAGCCAGCAGGAGAAAGTTCCCTAACAAACCTTCACAGTTTCTGATGATACAGGCTATTCAGAGGGTGAAAACAAGGGCTGTGGACCTTGGAAGTTTACCTGAGTTTGAAGAGCAACTGGACAAATTCATAGAAGACATATTGATGGAGAGAATGACCAAAGGTCAGAGGAGAAGCCTTATTTGCAAATTGTGTGTGCATTGCATTTCTACATTCCTCTCCTTGAACATTCATAATCTTAGTGATCTTCTGCCCTAACTTGGAGTTTAAAGCACCAAGTTAAATGCAGATGTTGAGTAAACTCTGCAGATCCTGTGTGGATAGATTCATGCTGGAAGAATGCCCTTAGTTACAGGAAAACCAAGTTACTCTGGATGAGTAGCATGAATGGTGTTCCCATAACAACTAACTCAGTCTGGGTGAGTAAAAAGATAAACCACTTTCTCCCCAAGCAGTTTTTCCTGCCTGCAGCTGATAGCAGAAGCACGAAGCACAGAGAGTGCAGTGCATTAGCAAACAAACTACCTGTGCTACCTGGCAGAAAACAAGATAAAAATAAAGCCATTCCAAGGCAGCTGATGCGTGCTTACAGGATGAGTCCTTGCCCAAGCACGTCTGCAGAGCATTTCCAAAGTATCCTCGTAATTGTCCTCATTGTGGGGGCTGCTTAAAGGACTGTGGAGGACTTGTAATCCCTCAAATCCCTTGTGACACATAGTGGAGGAGACAGGTGACAGGCTTGTCAAATTTTAGTATTAATTTCCTGCATTTATTCAACATTTTGAGAGAGGATGTGGTAGAGCTTGAACCTAGACTGCTTCTGACTCAGTTGGGAGCTGGTTGCTGAATCGCCCATCCCGCCCCAGAGGGACTGATCAGTCATTGTGTTATGAATTATGATGACTGTGGTTGGATTTCCTATCAAATGACAAACTTAATATAAAAAAGGCACAAGCAACAAAAAGAAACTGTAATTATTCTTGGTAACCTCCTTCCCCTAAAAGTTGCAGATGGAAGTGTGTAGTGGCAACTCAACTTTCTGTGTTTTACTGTAGAAACTGGTCTCCTATAAGGGAAAAAAATTTACTTGCATATCAGAGAAAATCTCACCATAATCGTTATCACTTTCAGGAGAATTCAGTCAGTGTAGAACAAGCATTCTGAAACTTTGGATGAGATTTTGTGCATAAGTTTTGCAATGCAATAAGTTTTGCACTGATGCTGTGGCAGGTCTGTCTGGCTTTCCCTGAAAGAGGGAAAACTCTGGTGATCTTATTGTAGTGCATCTGTGTAAGATGGGCAGTAAGGCAGGCTGGCTTCCCTGAATTTGGACTGGAGTATGTCTTTGGGAAAACATTCAAAGCTAGTTTATAAAATTGCCAAGAACAGAGAAGCACCACTGCCCTCTAATGCTCCCTTGGTCCTACATATTTTTTTAAATGCAGGAGATAAAGTCCCGTAAGTACAAGAGGCCAGAAAAGCTGGTAGGTGCCCCCCTCTATTGAAGATTGACCTTTGCAAAGTGTAGAGCTGTTCTTTGCTCTGAGAGGAGCTCAGTGCAAAGCCACCTGATTGTTCTGGAAGTTCTCCTTGGCTCAGTGCCTGGGAGGGTCTGGGGGCAGCAGGACCCCTCCCTTGGGGTCCCCAGAAGGCCACACTGACACGTGGTGTTGCCCTCCATGGCTGTGCCAAGCTGGTCTTTAGACCCATTAGATGCTTTTGCAGGGCAGTCATCACCTTGGCCTCTGATGTCTGTGCCAGAAGAGAGGAGAGATTTCAAAGCAGCAGGGTGGCCAATTTTCCATTCTTTCCCCTGGA